AATCATGTGGAAGAAGCAAATATTATTACTGTAAATTAGAAGTACCCCACCTTCATCTTAGAAGTTCTATCTTGTCACTTAATCTTTAAACCCCTCCTTTACTTCAATGCTTAATTTTTTTTTTTAATTTCTTTGTTTAATAATTTTCAAGTGTAGTGGGATAATGGCTTATTGTTCTTGTTGTTGTATTTAAGAATATTCAAGTACATGAACTATACTCTGTTATCTTTTGCTTTTGTTCCAATAGATAACTCATAAGCAATAGTTAGAAATATTTAATTTATTACTTCAAATATCCTTGCAATGTGTATATTAACCTTTCATTTTTTTAAAAATTATTTAGAACACATAAATTCCCTTTATTTTGCTATTTTAAAATTGATTTAAATTATAGACTATATATTATAAACTAAATTTTATAGCACACAACAATAATAATAACAACATCAAGTCTTTATCCCTCTACGTGGGGTTGGCTGTACAACAACAATTTCAAGCTTTTATCCTACTACATTATATTGACTAAATGAATCATTTTTCATCATTTTGTCTTGTTAGGAGTTAAATTTTCATTTAAATTTAATTAAATGGGGGTCCAATTTCTAATACTTTCTAATCAAGTTTTTTAGGTCTATCTCTACCGTTCTTAACATAGGTCAAATCTAATATATTTACTCTCCTAATTGGCTCATCGAAAGGTCGACGTTTTATGTGACCAAACCATCTAAGGTGACTCTCTCTAATCTTATATGCCATTGGAGCTACTCCAGACTTTTCACATATATAGCCATTTCACATTCTGTCTCTTAGAGTGAAGCCACTCGACCACATGAGCATCCTCATCTTTGTGACACTTTAAACTTAATTTTACATCATTCTGCTCGATAAAGCATTATCACCAACATCTTATAGAATTTTCTCTGAGGTTTGAAGGGGGGGGGGACTTTTCTATCACACAACAAGCCCGTTGCATTCCTCCACTTCAACCTTCCAACTTGAATTCTACTAATAATATCCTCATCTATTTCACCAATACTTTGAACAATAGATCCAAGATATCTAAAACGTGTACTCTTATTAATGACTTAATCACCCAAAATCACAATCCAACCACTAGATCTATTATTACTAAAATTATACTCCATATATTCAATTTTAGATCTACTCAAACTAAAGCCTTTAGACTCTAAGGTTGACCTCCATAATTTAAGTTTACCTTCAACTCTCTCTGTAGTCTTATCAATAAGAAGAATATCATAAGAAAAAAGTCTCAATTCTCTCACTATATCTATTATTACTAAAATTATACTCTATGTATTTAATTTTAGATTATTCAAATGAAAACCTTTAGACTCTAAGGCTGACATTTATAATTTAAGTTTTCCTTGAACTCCCTCTCTAGTCTTACCAACAAGAAGATTATTATCAGCAAAATGTGCACACCAAGGTAGATCCTCCTGTAAATGACTTGTAAGAACATCCATGACTAAATAAAAAAGGTATGGTCTTACAGTTGATCCTTGATTTAATCCAATTAAAATAGGAAAATACTTGGTCAAACCACCTTGTATTCGAATTCAAGTAACAACTCCTGCTTACATATCCTTAATGACTTGAATATAAGCATTATTAACCTTTTTTTCTTGAACTCTCTGTAGCACATTTCTTGGAACTTTATCATATGTTTTCTCTTAATCAATAAATATCATATGTAGATCCTCCTCCTCCGCTATATACTTATCCATTAAACTTCTCAATAAATATATAGCTTACATTAGTAGACCTATCTGGCATGAATCCAAATTGTTTTTGAGATATATTAGTATCACATCGTAACCTATGCTCAATAACTCTCTCCCATAGTTTACACATTAACTTAATTCATCTATAATTTGCACACCCTTCTTTATTAATTTTATTCTTAAAAATAGGAATCAACACACTCCTACACTCATCTGACATCTTTTTAGTCTTAAAAATAATAACGACAAGTTTTATAAGCCAAGAAATCCCTTCATTTCCTAAGTATTTCCACACTTCTATTGGAATATCATTAGATCCAATAGCTTTTCCACCCTATTTTATTTAAAGCATATCGAACTTCTGTTTTATTAATATGACGATAAAAACAAATTCTCTAGTTTTATTTATTGTGCTAAGGTTACTAAAGTCAATTGTATTTTCACATTTTTTGTTGAAAGGCTTATCGAAATACATCCACTTTTGTTCAATATCTTCTTCTAATAAACACTTTTTTTTTCTTTATCCTTAATGCACTCCACTTGGACGAAATCTTTATTTTTCCTATTTCGTTTTTGGCTATTTATACATACATCTTTGGCCGTCATTAATATCTAATCTATTATATAAATCTATTTTATAAATCATTAAAAACCAAAGTATTTATATAACATATTATTTTCTTAGATTCCATACGAGCTCCTTTATATTTTTCCCAATTTTGTGAGCTTTTGTATCTAAACCAATTTTTATTACTAAGTTTCTTATTTTTTATATTTTCTTATGTATTTTGATTCCACTATCAACTATTTTTACTATGAGGAGCTTTTTCTTTTGATACTCCACTCAACATACTTTATAATATTTTAAATATCACTTGTTACTTTTTACCATATATTATTAACTTTCTAATGCAAAATTAAAATATTATGATATTGAATCTTTGTCACAAACTAAATTTTATAGCATTGAAAACATAAAACTTTACATCAATTAAATTTAACTAGTATTCATTATTTTCAAATTTATCAATTTATACTTTTAAAATTAAGTTTTCTACTCATGCATAAATTAGTTATCCAAATTCATAGCATAATAATGTCACTGATATATTAGCCTTTTGATTTTATTTTAAATATACAAAGAATTACGAATTACTTTTCAGATTTGTTTTATATTATAATGTATAGAGCATTCTTTTATTTTTTATTTTTAAGTAAAAGCTTTTAAATTTCTAAATACTTCACTTAAATCTTTTCAATAATGTTTCACTCAAAATCAATTACAATCTTAAATCTTTTAAATTCCTCTTCGGCCTTATTTTCTTGCTCTTTTTTCTATTTCTCTCTCTTGCTCTTCCACATCCTCCCTCTTGCTTTCCCTCTCTATGACTCTCTTTCTCTGTTCTTTGTTTCTTTTTCTCCCGCCTTCTCCCTTTCAGTTGACTCCCTATGGTTCCCATCTCGTGATTACATGTGTAATCGACTAGTGTTGGTTTTCTTGAATTGGCATTAATTGATTCATTTTATATATTTATTTATTTATTTATTTTAAGTGGCATATTACATGCATGAGTTTTGAAAACCTATGTAAAGGTTAGCATAGTATAGAAAGAAAACAAAATAAAATTTCCAAAACCTTCGCCATGCTGAAAGAGGCATGCATGCATCTTCCGGGAATCTATAATATATAACAAGGGCAAACTATCGATCTTTCATATATGGTGACACATGAAACCCCTTTTAGCTATTATTTTTTTTTTTGCCGGGCCCATTTACTGAAAATTATCATGTTCGCTTGGCGTGCATCCATCTTTAGGGAATCTATAATATAACAAGGGCAAATTATTTATCTTTCATATGGGTGACACTTGCTGCTCCTTTTAACTATTTTTTTTAATCCCGGGGCCACTTATTATCTTGTTTGTCTCTATCCCTTCGGACTCCTAATAAAACCACATAAGATTGCTTTTAGAGGACTAGGCCATACTATAAACCACAAGGTGCCCTAATGGCCGTTGGGCTTGCCCATCAAACCTAATCACCAACAGAGGTTGGCGATTCCTCCACTACTGATGAGAAAGTCCATAAGGGAAGAGAATTGTAACCTTAAACTTAGGGAAGGACATGAACTATTAGCGTGCAATTTAAGGCTTTTGATTGCACTGGTTCTAATGAGCTTTGCCATTCAATTAGCTAGTCTGCCAGTCTTATACGGAACTATGAACCTTCGTGGCTCAGATCATGCAGCACAACTTGCTTGGTATGCCCGTCTTTATACTTATACTTAATCCTTAAGCCATCGTCTTGTCAACACATCCCGGCAAACAATTTGAGCCTGCCATATAAACTTAGCCCAATGATTAGCCAGATTGATAGTGTAATTGGTTTAAGGGTTTTAGAAATTCATAATCAAAATAATATTCTTAAAAATATATCGGATGTGTTTACATGGTTTTTCATGATGCATTTAGAAAGCACTCTCTCATTGGGTATTGTTTGCAGAGGCTCCTTAAGGGGACATTTTTGTAAATTCTATTTACGCAAAAATAAATGGTTCCGAGATAATCTAGCTGGCAAGGTTTTCAGTTTAGTGCCTTAGAAGATTGGTCTGACTTGGGTTTTAAAGTTATATTTATTTTTTTAACTATATTTATTCTCTCTCTCTCTCCCAAACATCTGATTTCTCCTTATGATAGGTTCCTTTGTCTCTTAAATGTATACTATTGAGCACACATGCTTATAGGTTGTCATCACTTCAGGACAGTGTTAGACAAGCTCTTTGTCATTTCTAATTTTTTAAATTGTTAAGAAAGAACTGACAACACTTGGACAACTCTTGGCAGATCATGAATATACACAAACTGTCCTTTTAATCATTTGAAATGTGATTAATTATTATTTGACTTTTAAGCCCTATGACATAACGAGCACCATAATTTAGAAGTCTATTAAAAATTTGAAAAAAAATTATATTTAAATAATATTTCAGATAATTTAGTTGTTATGTTTAACAAGTGTCATTATCCTACCTTTTTCATGAGTTTTCATGTCCTTGTTTGTGTTGTATCGTGCACACTGCATTTGTGTCCTTGTCTGTGCATTATAGATTGTACTCTTTATTTGAATCACGTAAAATTTTCATTTATCTCTTAAATATGATGTATGTATTGCTATGCCCATATTTTGATTTTGATATCAAGACAGTTTCTAGGATTCTACTTTTTTTTGTTTACCGTACCAACTTGAGAAACATTACAGCTAGACGTACCTCCGAGGAGCCACTCAGTTGGAGATGTGGCTTTCTATGGATTAAGATGGGTTCTTTGTTTTGTTTTAATGGAAACAATGACTCACTTTTTTTATTACAATGCCTTTGCAACTAGGTGAGAGGCCCTTCTTATTTCAATCATTTACTCTTTTTTTAATTTTAATGCATTTTAGTAGTTGTTTTGATTATTTCATGTTTCTTTTAGTGGCTTATGGAGGCAATTGTCACCTCTGGAGATCTTCATTATTGGATATGGGGTACGATGTAATTGGCAGATTAAATTATTACTCTTGTTAGTAGTTATTGTTGGGCAACTTTCCTGCAATAATATTAGGTTAATTATTGGTTTGCTTGATTTAATCTGATGCATGGAGGATGTTCTATCATTATTTGAGGAATTTTTTTTCCTTGTGAACTTTGGGATGAACATCTCTCTGCTTTGATTTCATCTGTATTTTTTGCGTTATTCTATGGCAGGTTATAAACTTTATGTGGCTGAAGTTCCTAGTTATCTGGCGCTATTTTCGGTTTTGGTCATTGGTAAGCTTATTTGTAGTTGCACTTTTCCTTGTGAAATTATCAGAGCTTTCTTACAATTTGTATTACTTATTTTCTTGCGGACAGTTTGTTTCCCTTTATTTTCAAAACTAAGATAAGTTTTGCTTGTAACTACAATGAAAGTGAAGACCTGTATTTGGATTGGCATTTAAGTTTCATTGCTTTAGTCGTGGTGTTAATTGGAATATTATGTTTTTATTATAATGTCTGGAGTATTTTTTACTAGTTTATTGGCCTTATCAACCATGCTATTAGTTGGAATATTGTTTTTTTATTAGAATGTCTGGATTTGTGACATGTTGATTTGCCTTATCAAACATGCTATTATTAATCGTAAAAATATGATCCATGCCACCATTTCAATCTTTTAGCTTTCGATAGAACTTGGTCAATATTCTGTACATTGATCAAACTATCAATGAACTCAGTGATTAAACTTCATAGTTAAGCTTTTACCAGCCAGTTGTAGCTTAGTTGGATTTTATCCTAGAACATGAATGTTTTCATTCCTCTATTTTTCAGATGAATGTCAAGTCTTACCTTTGTTTAAGATCTGTATTCAGTACCCTCAAAGCTACTAATTACAGTTACTATGATCATCTTGGATGACTCGCTAATTTCTTTATAGTTTTTCATAGAATATATGATGTTTTTGTTTGAATCTTATACTTTTTGAACTGTAAAGCTTGATACAAGATAGGTTTAGCTGAAATAATGCTAGATATTATTGCATTTACTGATCACTTTATGGAATTATTTATTTGAGTTGAAAAGTTCTTAGCAAATAGTTGGGAACTAATTTAGATGATCATGATGCAATGATTTTTTCCAGGATACAATTAGTAAGCTATTCATCATTGCATATATCTTAATACTTAATGACACTTTGGGATAGGAAAGAACGGAAATTATATCAACCCATGTATGGTCAGTTCCTTGCCTGAGTGAAGTACCACTGTCTCAATATAGTCCTATCCAAGAATTGACCTAGTTGTCCAATGAACAAAAAAGAAGGGAAAGTATATTCACCCGTATATAGAGAAAAAAAATGTGTTATGGGCATGCATATTTGGATTTATATTAAGTCTTGATTTTGACCTTTTTTGGGGATACGGTGAACATTTATTTAAGTGTTATTTCTCCTTGATATTAACTCCTAGATGTGAATTAAAGATTGCAAGATGCATTTAACGTTCAAAGGTTATTTAATATCCTGATTTATTGACTTCCAAAAAACTTTTTTTTTTTGCTTCACTACTTTTTAAAATTCTAAATCTATTAAATGTGAAACTTAATCCTTGTTTTATCTATGATTAAATTCCGTTATAGGTTGCAGGAATCGAGACCATTGAAAACATGCCAAAGTGTATAAATAATTGTTATAGTTTGGAGACCTTTTGGAAGTGCTGGCATGCATCTTTCAATAAATGGATTGTTAGGTATTCTAAAATCTTTTTTTTGTGTTCTTCAATTTGTTATTTCTATCCTCTAACTTTATGTACCATTTAAAATGGCATCAGATATATGTATATTCCTCTTGGTGGTTCTCACAAAAAGCTCTTTAATACGTGGATTATCTTCACTTTTGTTGCATTATGGCATGATCTGGAGTGGTAAATCTTCTATAATCATATTTTTGTATGTCAAGAAGCAAGTGTATTGTTTGATTGATAAAAATTTTTCCTTCAAATCTGACTTGTACTGATACTTCTGCTCTTTCACATAGGAAGCTTATTTCGTGGGCATGGCTCACCTGTATTTTTTTTATCCCAGAAATAGCGATCAAATCATCAGTTTCTTCATTTACAGTATGTTCTCTTTATCCTTCTGTGATAATATGTATTCATCATCTAGTAGTGTTGTAAAGGGGAATCAGATTTCTTGTTTTATAATAATGTGGTGATGCTACTAACTAGTACCTTTACAACATACCAATTCACTTTGTACTGAAACCAGTTTGTTTATTGGGCTATTTCGGTCGAGTCTCTGGCTTTATTTTGTTATGACTTGGATTGTTTACTTCTTTATTTTTTTGTTTCTATTTTCAGTCTAGAAGTGCTACTGGCAAGTTATTTCTTCGTGAAATGAGCGCTGTAGCAGGGGCCATTACCATTACAATGCTTATGGTGTGTTATCTGATCTCATTATGTTGCAGAAATTTTTTTTTTGTATCATCACATTATATTACGTATCATTAACTAACTTTAGAAGTTGAGATTTGTTCTACTTTTCTTGATTTGAATTATGTGAGTTGTTGTTACAAGATGTGCTATTATCATTTTTCTGATTGTTATTTAATTAGTACTTTAGTAACAAATAAGTTTCTTGTTTATCATATATGTATTGGTAAAGCTATATGATGATATCATACATTATTCCATCTTTCCATCTAACTTTTTCATCATTTGAGACAATGAGGTATGGCACTTTATGTTAATAACAATGGCGATGAAGTTAATGAAAACAATAAATAAACAGGCAAAACAGCTAGTGCCTGGCTTGGAATTCTGTAATAAATGTAATCTCGGTATATTTTGAGTATTATAAGGAATGCTGTTGTTAAAAACCATCCAATGATCAATTCAAGGATTAAGTACCTTTTCTTTCTTTCTTTTTTTCTTTTACCGCTCTACTATTTGGACGGTGTAATGTTGGTTCAATTTTATAAAGTATGTTACTTAAAGGTGTGATGTTATTTTGTAGCTCTAATTTATTTTAACCTTTAGAATTAAATATCAAGCATGGTTGGTTTTTAAAATTGTCAATAAGCTTTTGCGCACTTTTTCTTGGGTATATATCTTGATGCTTTCCTCTCCATCTTCCCGTGCAATTAGGAAATGGGGAGTTTTTGTGGAGGCCATAGTAGTGGCATAGGCTTGCAGGATAGCTTCTCTCCATTTATACCCCTCTTACTTCTAGCAGTTAATGATTCTAGTAGAGTATATCTTGATCTACTAATCTCTTATGCTCTATTTATCCTCTTTACTCACCGCCTATGGTCTTCTTCATTTCATTTAGTAAAGAAATCTGATGGAGGCATGTACGCAGTTGTTTGATGCCTCTTCCACGAATCATATCTCAGTTTTTTATACTTCCTACTAGTGCCTGGATTTGAGAGTAACCCTGGGTTGATTAATACTTGGTTGTCATAAACTATCTTGGTTGTCATAAACCATTAAGACATGTTTAGCTTTCAAGAAAAATGCCAGAAATACTTGGGCTGTACGAAATAGTATGCCATGGTTGCAAGAAGCCCATGCTCATATGACTTTTTTTTTTTTTTAATCTTAAATTTTCATGTTCTTGAAATAGTTTGCCCTAATGTTCTTGTTTGTAGGTTGTTTATACTGAAGTTTAAAACTTGTGTTATTTTTTAGTAAAGTGGACAAACCACGAGTTGTTTTATACAAATTCCCCTTCTGTATAGCTGAAATACATTTTGTTCTTAATTTCTACCAAACCAAATCTTGTGTAACTCAGCTGCATCCTTTAATGCAAAAATTTTCTCCATAGTAGATCTTTCTATTGTAAATCCAGTTGATTAACTACTATCTTGTAGTTTTTTTTGGAAAACTGAGGTTCAATTGAGTTGATCGGGCTAAATCGGGCCTAATTAGGCCCGATTCGACTCGATCTGAGTCGGGTCGACATGAAATGTGTCAACATACCGTAGCACCAGCAAACAAATTGTAATTCATCAATTTTGACGTAGGTTCTATGATATTATCATCCTTCAAATTTTCTCACCCAGTTTGGAGCCAACCATAACTTAATTATTATTTTTACCTCGTCCAACTCTAGTAATGATGGGTGAATCTGATTAAAAATTCATATTGTTGAAATTTATGTCGATCTAAGCATGTAGCAATCTATTTGGCTGCAGATAGGCAAGATTCTTGCCAAACTGATTGTATAGTTGATCTGGGAATTTGGATTTAGTTCTCTTTTCATGTGAGGATCTTTATTTGAATTCTTTCTTCAATGAGCTTGATGGAAATGTGTCAATATTTCCTTCTCTCTGTTTGTAAATGTCTGTTCATCTGCCATGCTCCTGCACTTTCAGTGTGTGAACTGGTTTGAGGTTCTGAGCAAGTCCTTCACTAGAAGCACTTGGAAAACACCTTCCATACAGAGATTTTCATTTCAGCAAGGATCCTAATAAAAAAGATCGGAGGCTTCGTTTGAGATAACTTTCGTGATGCTTTCTAAAACTATTTTCTAGTACAAAAATTTCAAATTCAAGAAATTTTTGTAATAGAAAGCTATTTTAGAAAGCAAGAAAAAAACTGTCCCAAACGAAGCCGAAGTCACATTGACATGCACTCAAGCACATACACATATCTTTTGAACAAATCATCATTAGTTAGTGATATTGAATTGGTCTATGACTTAAATGCCAATCCTTTTTATGTTTCCACCATGTGCAAGTATACAAAAAGAGTGCATTTCAAATCTTAATGCTTTTACTGTTAGCATTTCGAATTGAGACAATGGGAACATCCCTGCATCTTGTTGTGCTAGCTAACTTTATTTTGAACACACCATGTTTGGCAGGTAGCAAATCTTGTTGGCTATGTTATCGGACCATCAGGAACAAGTTGGTTGATTTCCCGATTAGTTCAAAAGGATGGTATGATAATTCACCACATATTCCTTTCAATTGAATAAGAATATGTTAATTAGAGTTTTGCATTTATGAGGGCAGGTTTTCCAGTTCTTGGTTTCATATTTCTGTCATTCTATGTGGCTGTCAAGGTATGCATTTCTTTTTCAATCCCATTGTTTGCTATTTATTTAACTTCAAATCCTTAACCTTTTTAGATAAATTTGATTGCAGCTTATGTTCCATATCAGAGATATTAAGCAAAATACCAAGCAAATCTAGACCTTTTGGAGTATAATTCTTTAGCATTTGCAGCAAGTTCTGAGTTCATTGATCCTTTCCTATATTTCTCACTTCCATGGTTGGTTCTGGTTTTGTGACAAACTATCCTTGACGACCAAACTATATGGTTATATATATATATAAAAGAGAATTTGATTCTTAATAGAACATAATGAAAAAAAAAATTTATGTAGCCAACCCCCATAGTAGGGTAAAGATTTGATGTTGTTGTTGCTATTATTAATTTATTATTGTTGTTGGTGTATGTTACAATTGAATGTCAATTTTATAATTTGATCGAATATTGAGGCTCTTCGGGAGCAATTAGAAGTTTTTGGTACAATAGAAAAGGAATGATCGATTCTTATCATCGAAGAAGATTATTCGCTAAAATTGGAAAAAGGAAACTTACTTCGCTCTCCCACGAAGCCTCGGTCGTCCGCCAGTTCCGCTCCTTCGTGTCGTTCGCGAAAAACAGCGACTCTTCTTGGTCGCAGATCTAATAATAGGTGGGTGGCCGGTTCGGTTGAACCGGCCCCCAACCGGTTCATAACATTGTTCTGCTGTTGTTTCATCCAATGAAGGAAACGAAGAACAAGGAAATATGCAAGATGCAATACACTATCTATTAAGGATAGTAAGAAAACTGGTAAGATTTCACTATTTATGTTTTTTTTACAGGCTGTCTAATTATCAACATAAAATAAATTTGATGAGAAAAGTACTATCACATATCAATTATGTTTTCACCGAGGGCTTCGAAAACTCCATGCCCCAGCCTCCGAATACTCCATGCCCCAGCCTCTCTGTGCCAGCTCTTTTATTTAATGTGACGGCGGAGAGTTTTAACGAGTTTATGTTTTGGGTGAATTTTTAGAAGGCATTAAACATTACTTAGAGATTTCACCACCCTCATTTTGTGAGGACTTTATGATACGAGTTTTGGTTTCTTATAGGCGCAAACCTGTATAGTCAATTACCTCTCTCGATAATGAGAGAGAACTTTCAATTAAGGCTAGTTGTTAAAGAAGTCACATAGGTCGCAAATCCAATGTATAATAGCAACAATTTTAGGGTTTGAATTTGTGATATAGTTTTTGGAGTTTGAGACCTAAAGTTTATTACCATAAATTTAAAACTAGTGATAGGAGGAATGAAAATGAGCTGGATCAAGATCCCACCGTCGTCCCAGGATGTCTTGGTCTTTGGTCTACTTAGTCAGAGGAGGTAGTCAGCCCAACCTGACATAAGGCATCTTATCAATAGCTGTGGGTTGCATCACAAAGAATACATTGTAAACTTGGGGTGTTGTTTGTCTAAATCAGTAGATCTAAATCTACCTTAGTTGACATAGGGCATTATGCCTATTGAATATATCCTATGATTCCTTACTCAAGGGTTTCATGACGTTAGAAAATATACGGGTTTTGATCGTGATCATAATATAATGGTGCCATTTTATGAAAAAAAATTACCTGATCAAAGAGCACGTCCACGTCTCTGCTAGCAAGAGATTATTTGATGATGAATCATAGTGATACACCCAACACGATTTGTTGTTTGTGAGCTGATATTACTTTTAAATTTATCACCCCCGACTAACAGTTTTGGGTAGATGAGTTTTAGTTTTAAGTTTTTAGGTGATGGATATTATTTTAAGAATTCATAATTTTCTTAGTTTTAAAGATTTGACCTCTATGATTGAGATTCCCTACCAATACGGGCATCATCGCGGTGATATTAAAAATCACTTTTATTTTTGTAGGAATTTGGAATTTATTTTATCATTCAAATCAGGTCAACTCAGGTATATAACTTTAACATGTTTATTGGAGTATATGCATGGCTAATATTTTAGTGTATTTGTATAACAAATTTAACACCTTGACTAATGCTTATACATATATGCGTAATGTATTTTGCATTTTATATTTGCATAATTTATATGTATTTGCCTTATGTGTAATACATTTGCCTTATGATTGATATATTAATATAAAACATTTTGTAGGCTCCAAAAATCGGCCCTGGCCTCCCCCACTATTTTTTTGGGGGAGTTTTAACAAATTAAGTTCTGGAGTAAATTTTGGGAAGGTAGATGGGTTTGTAGAAAAGACACTAACCAGATATTTCACCCTCATTTTGCAAGTACTTTATGATCTGAGTTCTGGTTTCCTATAGGTAAGCCCCTATAGTTAATTACCCCTCATGATAACAAGAGAGAACTTTCGATTAAGGATAGTCGTCAATTAAATACGTAGAAATATGTTGAATATGTCATATAGTAGCAGAATGGGCATTTGGAACTTTGGAATTTGATATTTAAAATAGAAATTTCACCATCTTGCACTTGAAGCGGATGGTGGGGGAATGGATGATAGACTCGATCAAGATCCCATGGTTCCGTCATCCTGGGCCATCGTGGTCTCTGGTCTACTTAGTTATAGGAGGTAATCGACCCAACCTGACAGAAGGATCCTTGTTGACAGTCATGGGTTGCGTTACCTAATGGTACTTTGTAGACTTGGGGGGAGTGTTTGTCTAAGGGGATAAATTTAAATCCACGTTAGCTAACATAGAGCTTGGTGCCCTATCGATTATATCGCATTGATTCATATCTCAATGATTTAATGCCACTAAGGAATGTATTGGCTTTAGCTATAACCGTTAAATCGTAGTACCATTTAGCGGCAGAATCACTTGGTTTAAAGGGCCATAGGTCATAACTGTTTACGTGTAGTACCATTTGGCAGCGAAATTGCCGGTGAGGACACATACCATGGCCTCACTAGCATGAGACTGTTTTGAGGATAAATCTTAGTTATATTTTCGACTATACATTATGTGAGCTTAAGTAAACTTCAATTTGTTCATCCTGGTAAATTATTGCGGAGGCTGCATGGATTTTGCTTTAAGTGGTTGGATGGTTTATTTTCAATTTTTAAATATTTTGAATTTTTGAATTTTTGGATGTTTGATGATTTCAATTTTAAATGTCATGGAGTTTGGGATTTTTGGATTCTTTTGAGCTTTGCATTTTGTAGGTATTTGGGTGGCATTTGAAGTGTTTGGAATTGATCCCTTCGGTTGAGTTAAACGCTCAACACGACAATTATCAGGGTGTATGGGATTATTTACATTTGTGGATTGAACCTTATCAACTCTATCGAGCTATCAACAGATGATCGGGTTCATAGGCCATATATTTTTATTGATGAATTTCTTTTGTCATAGACCTTGAAGGCCTTATATGAATGTATAAAGCATATATTTCAGTTGACACCTTGACCGTGATAGTTCGAGCCGTGTCGACTTCTATATATTCACATAGAAGGATTGAACTTGAGTTCATTTATTAATCTGCGCAATATCCCTAGACGTCATGTATGCACCCAAAACATGCTTGTCAGGGCCCATGTGGGTTATGATTACACATGCCCTTATGTGTACCTATGTGCATATATATTACGGTGCATGTGTGGGGGGTATTTTTGGAATATTCAATTTTGATCATCTTTATTGGCAACCGTCATTTGAATGCAGCATTCGATTTGGGGGGTTGTACACGCCTTATGTCCGCTTGTTATGATGTTGAGGATCCGGTGGCGTGACGTCATATTGTGGTCATTTGCATATTTCATGCAGATATACTGTCATGCACTACTTGTTGCTTCATGCAAATGGATTATAGTGCATTAATGAATTTTCTGCTTTACATTTGTAGATGCTTATAGGTGGCCTGTTGTATGCACGATGAGTTTCCTACAGTAACTTGTTGGTATTTGCACTTGATATAGTCACTTTGTATTTTGCTTATTGAGACATATGGTGCATAACAGATCTTCTTCTGCCACAATATCTTGTGAATGTGTTTGCATTTGTTGTATTCCTCATGCATTTTGCTACGGTTTTTGGCCTTTGCAGTATATCTATATTATTGCAGATAGCATGTAGTGTTTACATTTATATGCGTAGAGAATCCGTATGTGTTGTAGATCCTCTATCCTTGATTACATGCAGATCAGTGTGCTTGTTTGTATCTTGATTTTGATTGCCAGTGTTGTAAAGCAATTGTTTCATTTGCTAAATGCCCTTTACACCCTTTGCATTTTGATTAGCTTGAAGATACTAGTTAGATATGTTCTTGAATGAACTCTTTTGATAGTTCAAAAACACTTAGATATATTTCACTAATAGGATATATATAATTGTTTGTTAGTAGGCTCGATAAGACCTATTTGTTAAGTTCATGAACACATAGAAAGCAAAGCTCGTTAATAACTTGATAAGGCTCGCTTATTTAAAATTTGATAAGCATGAAATGAATCAAACATGATGAACATCTATTACTTCAAACAAACTAAAATTGAATAAAAAAGAAAAGCTTGAATCAAACTTGAACTATTAGAAAATAAACAAGTTCAAACATGAATAAGCACTGCTAAACTTAACTTGGTTCTTTAAACCCTAAAATCAATTCATATTTTAGCATTTTCCAAAGTAATTTAGCATTGTCAATTCAATTTATACAAACTCATCTACACATTATAAAAACATGATTTTAATTCCTGAATATTCATTCAGAATTAGAGACCCCCTAAATACTCTAAATACAACTTCCAATATGATATGAAAATGTCACAAAAGCATCTAATATGAGAGGTTGGTGAAAGAAAACCCCTTACAATGGACAACTGGAGGAACTTGAAACATAACAGAATCCTTCTTCCACAAGCAGATCAAATGCTTCTCAAATAACAAGTCTACAAACACCAAAAGGGTTTCCACTTCCATGACATTACACACCAATCGTTCTTTGTAAACAAACATAGAAAATTTCAGAGAGGATCACACACATTATCATGATAAGTTTTACAATATCATCCCATGGCATACTTTTGGGTCCATGCTCTCGCAGTCTCCTCATATCGGCTGCGCTGGTTCTTGTAAATATGGGCGATCTCAGGGACGAGAGGATCGTCGGGATTAGGGTCTGTGAGGAGAGAGGAAATAGAGAGGAGAACCTTGGATATGGTGAGCGCAGGGCTCCATTGTTCCTTCAGAATGTCAAGACAAATGCTTCCGTTGGAGTTGATGTTTGGATGATAAACCTGCAGAAATCATGGTAATAGATCATTTTGATATCTTTAATAACACATCCATGAGCATATAATGTCATTAAATAAATCGGCTTTCTAATATAAACATTAAATTTTTATATTAAAAAACAGCTTTAAGAAACACTAAGGAAGCCATCTCAAATGAAGCATTAGCATCTCCCAAGACAGACACCCTTCTTCATTATGTATGTAGTGAAAAAGCACCAACATCAGCATTATTACTTCTGGACTGGATAAACAATCATGTTCAGATTCTTATAATAAAATCTTTTCATACTGCTTAATGCTTGACTTCAGGTAAGCCTGTGTTCTACCAGAAAAATAAAAAGTAAAAATAAAACAGTAATCATAGTATATTGAACCATAATAAAAATTTCTACTTTTGTGATAGTCATGATATTCAAATGTGATATAATGGTCAGAATTTCTTAATTTGAAATGCAACAATACAAGTTTATGTGATTTGACAGTCTAAATAATCATATTGTAAGAATGGTTTAGCTTTATTATTAGTTCATCTCCTTCTGCGTCATGTAGAACCTGCATAAATGAACATTAGAAAATAGTATGCTTCAATTATGATTAGAAAGTTTTGCAGCGCTATTATGAATGAAAAACACTATCAGAATATCCAATGATAAGGGCATTTTTTTGCTTAAGAAAATGTAAACATTGTTTAGTTTAAACGAAATGTCTTCTTATTTTGAACAAATATCTTCTTATTCTGATACATTTTGTGTTAGGATATCGTCATAGCATTATGATGCAACAAAGCAGACTAAGGCTTCATTTGGAACGGCTTTCTTTCTGTTTCTTAAAGCAGCTTCCTAATAAAAAAAATTATTTTTTTAAAAAAATCTGCCCCAAACGAAACATGAATGTCATCAAAACAACCAATGGACATATAACACGTAGATGTCAAACAAAACAAGATTGCATATTAATAAACATCTATTACTTTAAATGAACTAAAATTGAATAAAAAAGAAAAGCTTGAATCAAGCTCGAATCAAATTTGAACTAGTAGATAATAAACAAGTTCAAACATGAATAAGCACTGCTCAGCTTAACTTGGTACATTTAAATCCTAAAATCAATTCATAATTTAGCATTTTCCAAAGTAATTTAGCATTTCAATTCAATTTATACAAAATCATCTACACATTATAAAAACATGATTTTAATTCCTGAATATTCATTCAGAATTAGAGACCCCCTAAATACTCTAAATACAACTTCCAATATGATATGAAAATGTCACAAAAGCATCTAATATGAGAGGTTGGTGAAAGAAAACCCCTTACAATGGACAACTGGAGGAACTTGAAACATAACAGAATCCTTCTTCCACAAGCAGATCAAATGCTTCTCAAATAACGAAGTCTACAAACACCAAAAGGGTTTCCACTTCCATGACATTACACACCAATCGTTCTTTGTAAACAAACATAGAGATTTCAGAGGATCACACACATTATTATGATAAGTTTTACAGTATCATCCCATGGCATACTTTTGGGTCCATGCTCTCGCAGTCTCCTCATATCGGCTGCGCTGATTCTTGTAAATATGGGCGATCTCAGGGACAAGAGGATCGTCGGGATTAGGGTCTGTGAGGAGAGAGGAAATAGAAAGGAGAACCTTGGATATGGTGAGCGCAGGGCTCCATTGTTCCTTCAGAATGTCAAGGCAAATGCTGCCGTTGGAGTTGATGTTTGGATGATAAACCTGCAGAAATCATGGCAATAGATCATTTTGATATCTTTAACAACACATCCATGAGCATATACTATCATCAAATAAAGAAAGAAAGACGTTGGTACTTCGTATCTTCCATTATATTCTTACATCATAATCTGAACTTTGGGATACTGTTCCCTCTGTAACTTCAAATGGATGATAGTCTTTCTAAAGTATTATGTTATGTTAACAATGTTCATCCTGAATTTCAACAACTAAGTTGAAAGACATGGCTTATATTGGCAAAACTTACAAACAGCTAATACGAATTTTTCTGAAGAAAGCACAAGTCAATACCCCATAAACGGTTCAAAGTAGTGCACTGAATAAATTCACCCCAACTGAGAATGTCAGCTAAAGATAACTACTTTAAAGTTGCAATATGAGTTATTTAAAGTTACCATTGAAGGATGCTTAGATATATGGTAAGAATCAGCTTATATTGTAAAATATGCTTGGTACCAGGACGATGTTTGCCTTTGGAGAGGAAGCAACAAAGATTTAGACTTCATTTGGGACGATTTTCTTAGTGCTTCTTAAATCAGCATAAAAATTAAAATTTTTTTATTAAAAAATTGCTTTAAGAAACAATAAGGAAGCCATCTCAAATGAAGCCTTAGCATCTCCCTAGACAGACACCCTTCTTCATTATGTATGTAGTGAAAAACACCAACATCAGCATTATTACTTCTGGACTGGATAAACAATCATGTTCAGATTCTTATAATAAAATCTTTTCATACTGCTTAATGCTTGACTTCAGGTAAGCCAGTAAAAATAAAAAGTAAAAATAAAACAGTGATCATAGTATATTGAACCACAATAAAAATTTCTACTTTTGTGATAGTCATGATATTCAAATGTGATATAATGGTCAGAATTTCTTAATTTGAAATGCAACAATACAAGTTTATGTGATTTGACAGTCTAAATAATCATATTGTAAGAATGGTTTAGCTTTATTATTAGTTCATCTCCTTCTGGGTCATGTAGAACCTGCATAAATGAACATTAGACAATAGTATGCTTCAATTATGATTAGAAAGTTTTGCAGCGTTATTATGAATGAAAAACACTATCAGAATATCCTCATACAAACATGCATTAAGATAGGAAGGATTTTATTCGAAAGAAGAAGATATTCCATGTAAACTACAGGACGTTTTAAATAAGGGCATTTTTTTGCTTAAGAAATTGTAAACATTGTTTAGTTTATACGAAATGTCTTCTTAATTTGAACAAATATCTTCTTATTCTAAGACATTTTGTGTTAGGATATCGTCATAGCATTATGACACAACAAAGCAGATTGAGGCTTCTTTTGAGACGGCTTTCTTTCTGTTTCTTAAACCAGCTTCCTAGTAAAAAATTTTAATTTTTTAAAGAAATCCGTCCCAAACAAAACTAGTTACAGGAGGAGCTTGATTGCCATTTTGCAAAGTGGGCATTTAGGCACTTATCATTCGATCATTTGAAAATAAATCGACTGATAAACAAAGAAAAACTACCAAAGAAATTATTGGAAATCAACTTATTGGAAGGGGCCCTTCTTCTCTCACCTTAGTTTGAAAATTGACCTTGGGAGGTTTGAATGGATAATCTGGAGGGAAATGAATCTTAACAAAGAAAACCCCTCCGGTATATGGGCTGTCAGATGGGCCCATAATAGTTGCCTGCCAATGAAATAGATCTTCACCAGCAGGCCCAGCACTGCATGATGTTGGAGGATCCTTTTGCAGATCCTGAAGTTCCTTTTGTATACGCTTGCTAGCCATTATGCCGCCTATCATTCAGTAAATAATGAAACAGATAAAAAAACTATGATTCAGCATAAGTGTTCACAAAATTAGATAAGAAACAAGACATCAGCAGTGTCAAACAGAGAAAATTCATTAAACAAATCTAATTTTCATCAATGAAAACAATGCAAAAAAAGTACACCGGATAGCTTAAACAGTGAAGAATAGCTAAGGAATAGAGATAGAGAACTAAATTCCAATCAAATAAGCATTTCATTGGCATAAAAAAAGGTAATTCTGTTTAAAATATGAAAAAAAAAATGAAAAAAATTTCCTGCCCTGACCAATGTTTATGATGCAAGCAACATTGAAGTCTTGACATATAACAAAACATTGCATATCTTTTTGTAAACGATTTGACAATGAATGATAAACCCAAGCAGAAGTACTCATATTATATCAAATTTACATGTAAAGCAACCAATTGAATATTTCAAAATTCTCTATTACTCTCTTTTCTTCAAGAGGGTTCTGCACAACATATTAATGAAAAAGCACAAAATAGTTTCCTGACTACCGAATGTGGCTTCACATTTCTCCAATGAGAAAAGGATCATAATGATCCATTCACCATTTATCAAGGATTAAAATAGTCCCAACTATATTTTGATCTTTCACAAAGAGTCAATGAACCATTTTGATCCATTTCTCTTTCTCCAATATAATATCTTGACTATGCAAAATTGATCACAAAAAGTCCCCCAAGTAAAAATTGATAGAAATTGAGATACAAAATTAATCCAAAATTAGTTTCTCAACTTTACAAAATTGATCTTAATTTAATCCCGAGGAATAATTTGGGATCAAATTTATATCATCCAAGTACTAAATTGAAAAAGATATTATGATTTAGGACTATAGTGATCATACATAAATAGTCAGTAGACTTTTTTGAGCTTTTCCCACATATTAATTATATTCTAACATTTTAAATTTAACTAGTCATTCCATAAAGAATTGGAACGAAGGTAATTAGTTTGTATATTTCGCCTAAAGAGTACGGTTCAAACTTCAACAAGTCCAATAGATATCATGGCTTTTACACAAAGTGGTCTCTTTCAGGTTTGTCTGAACCTGTCACTGCCATGTATGCCATGTTTATGAAACTGAACAAACCCCCTTGGCTTTTCCATGTACCTTGTAAAAATAATGTTGCTTTTTCCAAAGAGTGCTAGTAAGGCTTAGCTTTATATCACTAAATTGGCAGGCCCAACTGCATGAACCAGGCCACATTTAATTATTATGCCACTTATTCCATGGTTTCACAGCAATCTTTTATTTGAACTCAGATCTGATACACTTGCAAATAAATCTTACTCATGCAATGAACCTATTCATTGAACAGTAGTAACAATTAATTATTCACCTAAAACTAACGATATATAGAAACCTTAGATCAATAAACAAGTGAAATTCCATATATCACATTTCAAGGAAAAATAAATAAATTACAACTGATGAAAATCTAGAAGACAAGGCGGATTAATTGAAATAGAAGTATCAAAAGATAACAAGACAGTTGACCTAGGAATCTTCTGTGAATATATGAAAGCAAAAAGTTGATATTCCAGAAATAATACATTTTCCTAATCCAGTTGAGTTTCTTTATAATCAAATTAACCATCATTCACATAAACATGATTAGCAAAACCTGAGACATCTAAAACATGCTTGTTAAGGGGTTAGGTGGCTTAAGAAGCAACAATATCAAGAACATGCTGTTGCAGATTGCACACCTATATTTCCTCCACGTATACTTATTTTTCAAAGTATCAGAGACAAATATGTACAAAGAGGACGGCACTGCTAAAATAACTCAGCAACTTGCAATAGGTGATACTTAGTTTTCATCAGCATCGCCACTATTTTTCTTTTCTGGTTTTCTTTTTGTCGTTTCAAAGCTTCTCACGTAAAATAACAAAACAAAAACCTTTCAGCCTCTGATAACACTGAAGATTGCAATTTAAAAGGTAGTTCTTGATGATAAGACACGTAAACAATTTACATGTTTTAGTATTTCATGATGACCAAAATTTACTATTTACTCCTACAATAAAAGTAACCGATTCATCCTAGGAAAAATTAAAGAAATGATAGACATGGACATCTTAGAACATTTAAATTGTGTTTATTTCATTTCAACAAATGCAAAACAAGTATGTTCATCATGAGCAATATTAGCTTATATATCCAAGATATTGAGATTGATTTCATGAAACACCATTCTCCATCCAATCATATGAAGTAATGCATGATAATGTTGAGTCAATTTTTGCATAAATCTTTTTGTACAGTCTATCATTGTCACCTTTGGTCTACCTTATTTCCTTCTAATGCTTCCACATTAAAATTCACATACTCTTCTACTTGGTGCATTTTCTACCCTTTGTAGCATGATCCAGAACTGCCTAAATCTATTTCTATTATCTTATCTTTAATTAATGCTAACTCCGAATTCACTCTCATATAATATCTTTGTTTTTTTAAAGCTACACTTTATTTTAACTACATAAACTTAATTTTACAAGTTATATTCTCACTTACAATCAAATTCTTTTGTAAAAAAGATAAAGATACTTAAAATTATTATGCTTTAGTATCACTTGAACTTCTAGGAATTATGATGAATAATCACCAGGCATCAATATTGCATATCATATATTCAATATTTTGCTCAAATAATTCTAAAGCTATTATCTTATACGCATTTCCTCCATTTTTTACACTTATTATAGCATGAGTCTCTATGATTTAAAGTGTCATGTGCAAATACATACTCCAAGGTACCTCAATTTGATTACTTTTTGTAAGCATCCCCATTATCACTATAAAAAGATAAGGACATTGATGTTGATCCTTAATGTAATCCAACCTTGACTGAAACTCTAAGTAACTCGACAACTATTCTAATGCTAGTTAGTACTTTATTATGCATATCTTTAATAAACAAAACAAACTTTAATACACATTTTTCTATTATTGCAAGCTATATACTTTCTCAAAATTGATAAAAGATATAGGAAGATCATTTTTTTACTCATACTTTAGCATTAGCTCTCTTAGTGAAAAAATTCTCTCTATAGTGGATTAGCATAAATTAAAAATTCTAGAAATACAAAAACAATTGCAATATGTTTTAACCTTTCGAAATAATTAGTTTCGTAACATAAGCAAATTATGGCTCGATTGCCAATTAACTAAGATAAATAGTGTATAATGAGACAAATTAAAAATTGATAAGACTAGTAAGTCTATATATATAGATTAACTAACTAAATATAAACTAATCAGAACAATTAGGAATTAATGAATGATTAAAAATGTTAATTTAAACTAACAGTGCCTTGCATAGTTCATAATTAGGGTAATTAGCACTTTGATAAACTAATTTTGATTAGTTAAACATTATTTAGGTAGCTCATCATCATCATCAACCTTACCCAATTTAATTGGAGTTAATTAATTACACATGTTAATATCACTTTATTAACCAAACTAAATATCAATTAATTGACTTTTAGGAAGTTAGCTTAAGTTAATTAGAGCTTATCACTTCTTCGGTAGAGTAATTAGGGGTTAATAAAACTTAAAATAGCCTAATTAGACAAAAGCATGCATTTGTTCAAAGCGACGTATAAGGCATTGCATTCCCACTTTATGCATCACTCAACCAATTAAATCTGATCTTCAAGCTTCAAAACTTCAACAAAATAACATAAAAGCCAACATTACTAAGTGTTCACATGAATTATGTTGTATTACGTATAGACAAGACAATTGAATGTATATATGTTCTTCACAGATAAAACAGGTCGTTGATTGCTCGAACATCTATTAGATGCGAAAATCCAAGGTTATTCAACTTCAAAACTACGAGAAAGTTTCTAATCTTTTCAATCTTAGCTAAGGAAAACAAGATCAACATCATTTCACTAAAAATTCTTCTTCCGTGTACAAAGCCACATCTACCGCTGGCCAAAAATATTTTTAAGAACTATATATTTGTTTTGATAAATTACTTTTCAACCCCGTTATTGTTTAAATCAGAGTTTGTTAAATCTATCAATCACAGGATTTAACATATTCAAGAATTTCTCCCTCTCAAAAATCTTAAATCCTACAACAAACAGTCAAAGGTTTCAATCCCCTCAAGATTTACTAAATCTAGAATTACAGGATTTTACTAAATCCTATTTCAGTTAAATCCTACTGATTACTGCAGGCAAAAAACAATAAGAAAGAACCAGATATCGACAACCAGATCAAAAGCGTAATAGCTAAAAACAATTACCGAAGACTTCCGGCGAAGGCGAACAAGCTCTAACGCCTACCAAATAATCTCTCCAAAACCGAAGAAAAGTAAAAATGATGGCAGACTAAGCCAAGACCAAAAGATCGAAAGAGTGAGATGGCGGTAGCGAGAAAGAAGAAAGGGCAGAACGGAGTTGAAATTTCTTACCTGAAAACTTTCTTTTCCTGGGCGAAGAAAAATCACAGAATCCGTTGCAGACGTCAACGGCTGGGCGTAGCGACCAAGAGCACGGACGGGGATGCAGAAGAGTAACCACAAAACGTCCACCACATGACCCAGCTCGGCCTAGTGGTTGTAGTGACCTTCACAAATGGTGGGAAAGAGATGACATCAATGTTCTAGTATTTGACCGAGTATTACTGTATGGGTTAGGCAGCCCGATATGTTGATTTGATGGAAAATTATTACTTTCGGCGGACATCAATTCAGACCGTGTCATGTCATCAAAATACAGCGGACTCCGGTATATTTGGGTGATGCGGCGCGACTGGATTGGATGTCCGGACGTCCTGTCATCGAACGTAATAATTCGTCTGATTTGAGGGTGAAATTATTCCCTCCAGCTAAGGACCTCTTTGCAAGGTAAATTAGAATGTTATGTTATTTTTTGCATGTAGGGATGTGTATCAGGGTGTTTTCTATTTTGTCTTCAAACGATCTGATATCTACATAAAATAATTTCTCGTGTTGAGGAGTATCAATCAAAAGTTATTGAATTGGAACTTGGAAGCTTTTATATCTCTCTATATATATAATAGTCCTAAAAAATTAGAGTATGTGTTAAATACTGAGGTGGTATTAATCTAAAAAACTTATTCAAATAAGTAAATAATATGAATAATTATATCATTATTATGTTATAAGTTTAAATTTTAAAAAATTCGAAGACATTATAGAGAAAAAAAACATGTAATCAATCCCGCATAATGGATAAAAAACCTTTTGTTGTTATTGTTGTTATTATTGTTTAAAATTTAAAATATTTATCAGTATATTAATTTGGGATCATTTTTTTTTAGTTTAGTTTGCCCTTTTTATATTTTGGTGTGAAATAAGAATAAATTCGTTATCTTAAATAGATTTATTTTTTAAAGAGGATGGGGTCAGTTCAGATGTGTAGGCTTTGTGTTGTTGGGAGAATCTTGTGAAACCTCTTAAGAAAAAAACATTGAACTTTTAAACATTGAGGTGTTTTTTGATGTAATGAATGGACTTTTATTAGAAATTCCAAAGTTAAGCGTATTCGTATAGGAGCGCACACATATAATAGGAGACATTCTTCTGGGAAGTTAGACTAATGAGATAAGAACATGAGGTTATTAGGCCAAAGTAGATAATATCTCGGTAATTAAGAGTTTGTGTGATTACAAATGATATCAGAGCAATACACCATCCAAAAGATGGGATCTCAATCTTTAGAATCCTATCTATATGGTTGATGATTTTGAGCTTACAAGAAAGGGACAAATCATGAGACTATTAGTCCAAAACAGACAATATCACGATGGTTGAAAGTTTGAGTAATTACATATGGTAGAGAGAAATATACTAGCTAGAAGATAGGAATCCTACCTTTAGAATCATATCTAGCTGGTGGATGATTTTGAGCTAAAGAAACTACCAAGGATGTTAGTTATTTAACTTGGAGGAACTATGAAATCTCTTATGAAAATAAAACTAAACTCTTAAATATCGAGACATCTTTTAATGTAATGGTTTGAATTTATTAAAAACTACAAGTTAAGCGTGCTCAGACCCATCTAATTTCACCTAGAAATTTTTATACACATATTTAACCAACAAAAATGCAATGTATATCAAATTATTCATAATGATCAAATCTATTACATATCAAATGTTACACAATATCTCTTTAATGCCCTATGTCATGACACGAACTGATATGACCCATGGCACCACACTGGTTATATCATGCTAAATTATGGAAAGAAGTAGAGATTGGCCCTAAGATCTAGTTGGAGAAATGCTATGAAATTGAAACATCCAAATTATGTACAACACAAAGTCACTACTTAATATAAATATATAATGGAAGACTATTGAATCTCATAAATAATTTTTCCATTAGAGAGAAATGGCAGGGATTTAAGAAAAAAATATATTAAAAAATACTATTAGAGGCCTAGTGCCACAATGCTCAGACCCAGGGCTATAACACTACTTGTCAATTTCAGAGTTATTATAGGACAGAGACATTAGCACCACAATTGAAGTTTTTGGCACTACTATGCTCTCATGCATAGCAACCCAATGTTGCCTAACACAACGCCATTATGCTCCACTTCATACAAAATTTAAGATTTTCATATTTTTTTATTGCAAAATACTTTTCATATATTTAGGTTACTACAGATAACCTTCTAGAAAATTACACCAAATACACAAAATCATGAAATTATTAGGCCAAAGCGAACAATACCTCGATGATTAAAAGTTTGAGCCACATCAATAACATAAATCAGTAACATTAAGTGATATTCATATTCCATATGAGAATATGTATCCTTACAATGATAATAGAATGTAACAGTAGCAGTGTTCTTACAGTGTTAGTACAATATCAATATAATATTAGTATCATTGTTAATATCAATAATTATCAGTAATAATGACCAGTGTTAGTAATCTATATATGTATCAATAATTAATATTCTATCATATATTCAATTGAGGGTATCTTATATAATGTTCCTGCACTAATGACTCTCAATCAATTATACCTTATGACTCTCAATTAATGAACTCCTTATAACTCTCCTAGAATTCATTATAGTCACCCCGACTCCTTATAACTCATAATCAATCTCCAACTCCTTATGAGTTTTGTCAGTGGACCACGTAGATCTTGAGGATATCACATGAGATTATCATATCATATATTTGATATCAAGTAGTACATCCTTTTAGTCATATCAATATCACAGTTCAGTACATATCAGTCTTTTCAATCATTTCAACACTTATTATATTTCAGTATTATCATATCAAATTATAGAGCATTGCTTTAACCCATTTTCAGTATATCTTTTCCCAACTAATTTTACCTAGAAAATTGTATACACATATTTAACCAACAAAAATGCAATGTATATCAAATTATTCATAATGATCAAATCTATTACATACCAAATGTTATACAATGAATTCTTATGAAAGTAAGAGGATAATTACTTGCAAAAAAGAGAACAATTTTTTTAACATAAAGGATAGACAAAAAAGCCCCAACGGATCTCCTCTTTCCTATCTCTCCTCCTTTCTCTCATCCCATCTCCTTCCTCTTCGGTTTCTTCCAAGCCGAGGAAAGCAAGACTGAGGTGGTGGGAGAGAAATTGTAGGGATTTAAGAAAAAAATATATTAAAAAATACTATTAGTGGCCTAGTGCCGCAATATTCAGACCCATGGCTATAACTACTTGTTAATTTCAAAGTTATTGTAGAACAAAGACACTAGCACCATAGTTAAAGTTTTTGGCACTAATATGTTCTCATGCATAGCAACCTAATGCCACCTAACACAATGCCACTATGCTTCACTTCATAAAAAAATTTAAGATTATCATTTTTTTTATTTTAAATTACTTTTCATATATTTAGGTTACCATAGATAACCTTCAAGAAATTACACCAAAGAGAAAAAATCATGAAATTATTAGGCCAAAGCGAACAATACCTCAATGATTAAAAGTTTGGGTAGTTACACACCATTTGAGCAGTTAGGTGTGGTCTAAGGCAAGGTCGAGCACAATAGAGCATGCATCATAGTATTTTAGTAATATCATATAGTTTTAAAAATATTGACAATAATTCCAAAAATTATGACTCTAGTTAGTAGCTAACCAAGTAGAGTATGATATGTATACTCTATTTTGACAAAATTATTATAAAAAACCTTATTAGTAAAAATCGTAAATCACTCTATTATATCACTATAAGGAGTTAGTAAACCCCATAGAGCACATCAAAAGTTTTAATAATACCACGGCATTGTTTTTTTTTTTTTATAGCCAACATATATTACCACATATTCGTTATCACCCTAAAGGACATCAAGTGGATATGGTTTATGAAGCTTCTACCAACTGTAT